GATATTTTTATATCAAACTGGGTGAAAACTTGGGTAATGATGGAACACAAATGAGGCAAAGACACTGGTTAGGTGGCAATAGTGTAATTGAGGTGACTAATGGCAGGGAAATAAGCTAGGATGTGTAAGAAAAATAAGTTATATTGGTTTTGAATCAGAAATATCATAATTCTTTATTGTAAAATTGATGGATGCTGGAAAAAAAACAGAGGTTGAACTAGTTTCCCCCCACTCAGAAACTTCTGGAGATAACATGTGTTTGGAAGAAGAAAGGAAGCAAAACGTGGAGGGAAACTACATCAATGTCATTTGCAACATAGAAAAAGAAGAGCAATAGTTTAGGAATCAACACCTTTTCTACATTTCATGATTCCACCTACTCTTCTCAAAAAGAGATCAAAGGTTACAATGCAAATGCTTAAAGCCAAACTCAAGATAAAAAGAATTTGACAATAAAACTTGATTTATGAGAGATGAAAGAAAATCTTAAAAGAGGAAATCTACCATTTGGGACAAGAAGAAAAACAGATAAATCTAGTCTTATTGGGACCCACTTTCAACTTGAATAATTGGATACTCAAAACTTCCGTTTAGTTCTGCTTTCTTATCAGATCAAAGTAAAGTCTTTCATGAACAGCACCTCAGCTGTACAAACAAAATTGCCCCAGCATTTTCTTTCAGTGAAGGATTCTTTGATTTAGACATTCCCCTTTCAATCAAGTTGGGCAAAGAAAACATAAAATTTTTATTGCAGCTTGAATTCCACAAGTGTGACCAGTGATGATGTGAAGGGGATAGATTCAGAACACATACAAGTGATGAGATGGTAGTAATGAGATTTTGCTACTGGATTAGATAAAAGGGGTAGAGAAATGGGAAGAATCAAGGTAAATGCCTCAACTTTGGGCTTGAGCAGTAATGTAGATCTTTATGAAAGCAAGAGCCTTAGAAATGTACCGCTAAACTCCTTAGAAACTAAGGAATCTTAACAGTTGAATTTTCCTGGTTTAATAAAGGCTCCAAACTTCTTCAGAGCAGGGAACAGAATCTGTATAACTGTGAATGTCCAGCAACTAAAGTACTGAGTGTAGTTGAAGATATATGGATTGCTGTAGAGTCATGCTTGAATAGAAAATTTTATTAAGGAGAGTGTGGGGTCAGTAAATTAAGGAGCTTTAATAGACTACCTAACATGGCTGGAAAGCCAATTCTTGTTAAGATCTAATAATTACCATAATCACTAGCATTTGACTGATTACCTTGCATTAATTTGAGGGCACCTTATATGTACTATTTCAACTAAACTTCACAAAACCCTCTGTGGGTAGATCTTGTTATTGTACTTGTATTGTACTTGTTATTGTCTTTGTTTCATCATCGACAAAGGGTGTTCAAACTTGTCCAGGGTCACATAGTTAGAACTGGCAGAGCCAAAATTAGAACTCCATAGTGACTCTCAAACCTTGACTCAGAAAGATGGTGAATGGTGTTCCTGACAGGCTTGACATTTCACTACAAGTGAATCAAGAAGTTCTATGGATAAAAGAGACTCAGATGTATAGAACAGACTTGTGGACTCTGTGGGAGGAGGCGAGGGTAGGATGTTTCAAGAGAACAGCATCGAAACATGTATATTATCTAGGGTGAAACAGATCACCAGCCCAGGTTGGATGCATGAGACAAGTGCTCGGACTTGGTGCACTGGGAAGACCCAGAAGGATAGGGCGGAGAGGGAGGTGGGAGGGGGGACCGGGATGGGGAATACATGTAAATCCATGGCTAATTCATTTCAATGTATGACAAAAACCACTGCAATGATGTAAAGTAATTAGCCTCCAACTAATAAAAATAAATGGGAAAAAAAAAAAGAAGTTCTATGGAAACATGCCTTTCATAAAAGAAAACAGAATTTCAAGGAAGGTACATTACTCCATCTGAAGTTCAAGGCCCGGAGAGCTCTGTGCAGAGCAATAGTTATGCTCTGATTGCTGTATTGTCCCCACAGTGGCCCAGAGCATAGAACAGTGAGTCCTAGCCTCTAGAGCTACATTTGCTGCAGAACTATCCACTTATGCAAACAATGTCTGCCCTCTCCCTTGTGTTAGTAATTCCATGGCTTGAAACTGCAACTTGAGAGGATGTTTGTATGGTTTCCTTTCCTCTCTGTTTTATGTTTCTGCCAAGAAACAGGACTGATAAGTTCTGTGTGTGTGTGTGTGTGTGTGTGTGTGTGTGTGTATGATTTATTTTAAGGAATTGGTTCAAGCAGTTATGAAAGAGGTAAGTCCAAAATCCACAAGGTGGATCGGCAAGCTGGAGCCCCAGGAAGAACTGATATTGCAGTTGAAGTCTAAAGGCCACCTGCTGGCAGAATTTCTAATCACTTGGGGGAGCTCAGTTTTCTCTTCTATGCATGCCTTTAATTGATTAGATGAGATCTATATACATTATAGAGGGAAATCTGCTTTACTCAAAGTTCACCAATTTAATTATAAATCTCATCTGAATACACCCTCACAGAAACATGAACTAGACGCTGTGGCCCAGTCAAGTTGACACATAAAACCTACACATAAAATCAAACTCACTTAGGCAAAAGAAGGAACTATCAGAGGCCTCTAAATATTTTCATGTTCCTCTTTCCCAGGGAATGCCCCAATTTTGGGGGGAATGCAGCAGAATGCATACCTAATGGTTAATTACAGAGTTTTGGTATCAAACCTGATTATGAGTCCTGGCTCTGCTACTTACTAGCTACAGGGAGGTCACATTCACTTTCTACCCAAAGGTTTCTGATTTGTGAAGTAGAGATTACAATTACTAACTCCCAGAGTTGCAGTGAAATGAACCAGCAGTGAAATGAAATGAAATGGAACCAGCACCCTGACCCCCTGTGTGATAGGTCTCCACAACCACGGGCGGGAGGATCCATCTAACTCTGTCGAAGGAGGAGGGCAGCTATTTACACAACGTGGAAGAGAAAATAGAAGAACCTAGATTATACGGCCATAAGAAGGAACCAAGTGGTGTCATTGACAGAGACGTGGATGGACCTCGAGACTGTCATACAGAGTGAAGTAAATCAGAAAGCGAGAAGCAACATCGCACATTAACACACATGTGCGGAATCTAGAAAAATGGTATGAAGTGAAGTCGCTCAGTCGTATCTGACTCTTTGCAAGCCCATGGACTGTAGCCTAACAGAATCTTCCGTCCATGGGATTTTCCAGCCAAGAATATTGGAGTGGGTTGCCATTTCCTTCTCCAGGAAATCTTCCCAACCCAGGGATTGAACTCTGGTCTCCCACATTGTAGGCAGATGCTTTACTGTCTGAGCTATTTGCAAAGCAGAAATAGAAACGCCGACGCAGAGAACAAAGGTATGGATTCCAAGGGGGAAAGGCAGGGATGGGGCTGAACTGGGAGATTGGACTGACGTATACACACTACTATGTATAAGCCAGCTATCTAAATGGGTGAGGGCCGACCATAGCAGAGGAAACCTGCTCTGTGCTCTGGTGACTGCAATGGGAAGGCTCTCCAAAGAAGAGAGGACATGTGTGTCTGTGTGGCTGGTTCACTTTGCTGTGCCGCAGAAACTGACACCTCCAAGTAAACTCACTATACTTCAACAAAAATTAATTAAATTTTTTTAAAAAGAAACTGGGGTTATAAAACCTTCCTTAATTCAATTCCCCAAAGCTGGACTGATACTAGGATCTCTTCGTATCTACCCAAACCCATAATGAGGACCCTTTCTTTGCACTATTGCGCTCATCATTGTAGTTTAACTCGGGTTAACGCTCACCTCTGTTCTTTAAAACAGAGTGTTCTGAGGAAGCACAGGATGTTGATAGGTGTTACCCATGTAAAAAAGGCTCCTGGTCACAGGCAATTTGATATTTGCACAGGCTTCCTTATCAGATTTCTCAGAGTCTTTAGGGTGTGTACATTGAAAGCTCTGAAGGAGGATATAATCTACAACATTTCAAATTTAATTGACCACAGAATCCTTTCTGATGTAGCTCTCCCATAGCTAGTGTTCTGCAGCACACTCTTTGGCAAACACTGTCTAATTGCTTCAAGTCTGCCAGCCTTCTCTTTCAGGTTAAATCGTGAGGTCCGAAGAGTAGAGAAATAGCGGACCCTTTTATAGCCCTCATAGCACCAGCACAGTGCAGAAAATAGAGCATTTCAGTAAATACGTGTCACTTTACAAAATTATTTTAATTATTTAATTAGCATATATTTCTTGTTTTCAGAGTGCCTACTGTATGTTGGGGAGAAGGAAATGGCAACCCACTCCAGTATTCTTGCCTGGAGAATTCCATGGACAGGAGAGCGTGGTGGGCTACAGTCTGTGGGATCGTAAGGAGTCGGACGTCACTGGGCACCCAGCATGCACGCTGTATGCTGGGTATTATTCTAGGCACTAAGAAGACTGAATCTGGTAAATACAACCCCTGCCTGTGAGAAACATTCAGTCCAAGACGTCCCTGGTGGTCTAGGGGTTAAGAATTCATCTGCCAATGCGGGGGACACAGGTTCGATCCCTCATCCGAGAGATTCCACATGTTGCAGAGCAACTAAGCCCGTATACCACAGCTACTGAGCCCACACTCTACAGCCTGTGAGCCACAGCTACTGAGCCCACACACCCGAGAGCCTGTGCTCCGAGGAAAGCCACAGCAGTGAGAAGCCTGTGCCCCGCAACTAGAGAAAGCCCAAGTGTAGCAAGGAAGCCCCAGCCATACATACATAATTTTTTTTTAAAAAAGAAACATACCATCCAGTCCTTCTTAGAAAAGAAGAAAGGCAAGCATGCACATACTTGCTAATTACTATGTCATGTTTACAAAATGTTGGGGTGATGTGAAGAAGGACATAGTAGCCTCAAGGGGGCAGAGGATGGACAGGGAGGGTTGGAAAGGCTTCATTGAGAAGGTGGCACATGAACTGAAGCGTGAGCACTAGAAGGCATTCTCCAGACAGGCAACGGGTTAAAGGGCATTCCAGGAAATAACAAGACGCATGCCCAGAAGCTCGGACATAAAAATAGGACACGTGTTTATTGGATATCGAGAATGATGTGTGGCTTCCCGTGGAATACATGGGAGGCTGCCGTGGGAGCTGGAGAAGAGAGGTAGGGCAGGCAGGTCACAGAAGGCCTGGTATCCTGAGGTCATAGTCAAACCTTTTACCTGTTCTTGAGGTAACAGGAGCAACGGATGGATTTTGGGCGTCCTTGAAAATGTTGAGGAAGTTATCAGGGACAAGAGAAAGACAGAAACCAGGAACCACATACTCCCAACTTGAGAACACAGCTGATAATGGTGTAGCATGGTGTCCGCATTTCTTCCTCATTGAGACAACTCCTATGGTCTTAGTTTGATGATACTATGTCAGGACAATTGTCATTTCCCTATTCCAGGGAGCCCCATTTAGAACAACATTGTCCCTCTAGTATGACGAATTACTAATGAATATTTGACTATTTCAAAACAGAATAAGTGAAAGTTCTGGGAAACTGAATGATGACATTATTATAAACAGGCCTCATTTGGAAACCCCATGATATCTGAAAAGAATTACATCAACAGCATCCTTGAAGCTATTTCTGGTTTATTGTTTTTAATATGAGAGCATATAAGGAAGATACTTTGGTTGAAGCATGTTCTGTAATATAAGAAAAGGATTACAATTCTAGCTTGTAGTAACACCAGCAATTAATGAAATTGCTCTTTGGGGAGAACTCAACATATACTTTTAAACACATTAGAATGTTCACACAATCCTCTAAGGATTCTTCTAGAATAAACCTCATAGTTAAGCAGCTCACTTGAAATCATAACTTGAGATAAGCCTCTAGGCTTTGAGATGATGCCACTATCTTCTTGCCTCTCTCCCTCAAGCCCCAAATATTAGCCCCCCCCCCACACTGCACCATTTTATTACCACACATGCTGTGGGTGGCCAAAGTCCACTGGACTTGTTTACAGAGTAACATGATTTCTTCATGTTACTTCAATTTCATGCATAATAGAATAGAAGTCGAAACAGTCATATGCCAGATTCCAAGAGGCCGTAGCTCTTTTGCCATATTTGGTGATGCTGTGACAGCATCCATCTTTCACAGGTGCAATGCAGGGAGAAAGAGAACCTGCTCCCAAAAATGGGAGAAGGAAATGAAGGAGCTATTAACCCAGGAAATCCTCCCAAATGAAATAACCAAACCAAACAAGAAAACAGTAAAGCTTGGAATGACCTGGCTGTTCCCGCAGACGGCAGCCGAATAAAGGACAAAGCCGCCGGCCGGTCCCCAGGGCTCTGGCTTGAGAACAGAAGCTGGACCGTCCGCAGGCAAGCAAGGTCAGGCTGCTGCTCACCTGAGAGAATCCAGGGGGGCTGCTGGTAGAAATCAGCGCTTGGTCCTCGACCCCAGAGGTGCTAGTGGGACACAGGGACTTGGGGTCTTCTCAGCTCTGCAATAAAAGCACTCCTTTCCATCAACCCAAGGTCATCAGGTTCAGAGGTTCTAGAACTCCATAACCATTTCAAGTGGTAAGTAATTCAATATGCCTGTGGTTTAGGGCAAACTACTCAGGACTTCTGGAACTGTAAGCTGAGCACTGTTGATATTGACAGCTGGAAGCTCAGGAGACAACTTGAAGAACCCACACCGCAGCTCAGCAGGGGTGGAGAATGCCCCAGGCGATACTGAAACATCCCTCAGCCCCAAAGTGGGAATGCTACTTGTAAGCCTGAGATACACAGGTGGAACTAAACAGACGGAAGTGCCCTCTGCCCAAAGCCGAGGGAGCCCTGCCTGGGGAGGGATTTGAGGGTGCTAAGTCGCTTCAGCGACCCCATGAACTGTAGCCCACCAGCTTTCTTTGTCCATGGGATTTTCCAGGCAAGGATACTGGAGTGGGTTGCCATGCCCTCCTCCAGAGTATCTTCCTGACCAGAGGATCAAAACTGCGTCTCTTACGTCTGCTGCCTTGGCAGGTGGGGTCTTTACCACTAGCGCCACCTGGGAAGCCCCCGGGGAGGGATGCGCCTGTACTAAGGCTCATGCCTCATTTCCTTGACATAGGGCTGAAAAAGCTTCTGTCTGTGCTTCAGACAACTGAATGTCTTTTTCTTTTCTGCTGAAGGTTTTCATGCTTCTACTGTCCTAGTTCACTTTGTCTAGGAAAAATCACACGTAACCTAACACAGTGTCCTCCTTATGAGATGCCGTTCTCTCACCAAGCAGACACGGGGTAATCAGACATGGCCACCTGGCTTTCTGCTCTACCGCTCTCCTCTCGACCACAGAGCCGCGAGTGGTACCGGGAATGGAGATGCGGTTGTGGTCCCCAACCACAGGACCCGGTGAGCCTCAAATGCACCACAGTTTCTCTTTCCCGGCAACTGACAGCCGGGCAATGCCGGAGCTTGTAGGGAGTAAGCCCAGAGGTGCCTGAGGGCAGGTGGAGGCAGAGCCCCATGAGGGAGCTTGTAACACCAGAACGCCTTACAGGAGACAAGCAAGGCTATGTGAGCACAACGGGCGCTTCTGGACCTTCAGCTTTCCTTAGACTGGGCGGTGGCACAGGGGACAGTACGGCGAAGAGAAATGAGAGCGCAGCTCACGGAAGCCAGGAGGAGAAGGGGCCACGAGAAGAGAGCTGCCACCTGTGTGCAATGCGGTTGACAGGTAAGTAACAGGAAATCCCTGGATCTGGCAACATGGAAAATATTGTTTTCCTTGACAAGTGCAGTCACAGGGGACACACGGAGACAGGAGCCGGAGGAGGGTGAACTGGAAGGAGAATGTGTGGTGAGGAAGGGCAGAGACTTTAGAGCAGGGGTCTGCAGAAGGCCAGGTGGTCGGTATTTCAGACTCTATGGGTCTTACAGTCTCTGACACAGCTACTTGGCTCTGCCATTGGATGGTGACGGTAGCCACAGATACGGGCAAATGTGCAATGCTGTGGTCGAGTAAAACTTTGCTCATAGACAATGGAGACTGAATTTCATATAATCGTCTCACCACAAAATATTTTTCTTCTTGAGATTTTTTTTTCCAACAGTTTACAAACAAGAAATCCTTAGCTCTTGAACTGTACAAAAATGGCTGCCAGGGCAGATTTGGACTGCAGACCATAGTATGCCAACTCCTATGATAAACTAATGTTGGGAGGAGATTTTCTATGAATGGTCCTGAGTAGATGACAGGGAATCTATAGGTCAGAAAGGAATGCAAGAGTAATAGGGAAGAACAAATATGACTCCATGTTGGTTTCTTTTGCCCTAACCTTTGTATTATTCTATTGCTTCGGCTACAAGTTAACCACTAAAAGAATGCCGCCTATAGCTTGAACTATACAGGATAGCCCATTCTCAAGGCTCTGATCTTCAAGGGCGAATACTTTTCCATTCATATAGAGATTAAAAAGGACAGAGAGGGACATTTGTCTTGTTGGAGGTTTACAGGAACATTGTTTGCTGACCTACGTGGACGTTGTAAGAACAAAGGATTCCAACACCGAGAAGTTTACACCAACCAACCGTACCCTCTCCCCATTTTAGTATTAAAAACCTGAATTTCACACCAGTCCACCATCTTCTCAGTCTGCTGGCTTTCCAAATGAAGACTCTGTTCCTTGCCCCAACAACTCATCTCTCGATTCATCGGCCTGTTGTGTGGCAAGCAGTGTCAGACTAGACTCGGTGACACAGGCTCCATGCAGGAGGTATTTTTCCCTTGTATTCTAATCTATCTTCAGCTTCTAACATAGGGCTTAGCATATAACAAGTGCATGATAAATATGTGCTATACAAATGAATTAATTTCAACCTAGGTCTGACTATTAAGTCCATCTACTTTCTACACTATCTCACTGCCACACAGGCACATGAATATTTTGAATTAGAACCTTCTAAATTCTCACCAAATAATAAAATAATAACCTGTATATGTTGTGTGCTGTGACCCCTTCACTCCTGTCTATCACACCTCTCTCCCAAACAGGCTGCTTATCTACTTTCTTAAAAACCGTGACATAGACATCTGCTTATATGTTCAGACTTAAATCCTGAAAATTTATTTGAGAATACACATACTGTTTTTGGAAAATAGCCCTGCTTGAAATCAGGAATCTCCCCACCTAAATCTGATGCCAATTTTCTTTTGGTGAAGAATTCCTTTTCTTAAAACAGGTATCTAGCTAAGTGAGAAGGCTCAGAGAAGAAGAGATTAGATAGATGATAGATGGATAGTAGGCAGACACACACATGTACACATAAGCACATGTACTCATATATGCCTATACACAGTAACATAGATACACATATTTTTTCTTTGCTGTTATTTTCCTCCTTCTCTTTGGAGACCTGCTATCCTGTCTTTCTCACAAACCACCTCTGAGCTGCTCTGCCTGATAAGCCTGTGAATGGGTAAGCGCTTTCAGACTTCTCCAGGGTCTCTGGCAGCTATTCTGGCTGAGGGAACAGATAACTCTGGGTTTGAGGAATGACAGAGTTTTCCTTGATCCACTAGCTGACTTGCTAAGCTCTCTGCTACACACAGATCCAAGGTTTGTTTTTTCAAAGATCACTCGGGAAGACAGAGTGAGGGAGAGGCACTGTCAGCATAGAATTTCCACTACAGAAATGACTCAAGGAGCACACGCTCACGGTGTTTTTCCTCCTCTGAAGTCACATCACTTACAGTGTAAGCTACGTGGAAGGTAATCACACACTGGGCTGGGATATTAAAGCCTCCGCCCACATTTTTAGTCTTATCAGTCGCTGCACACTCCTTTTGATTCCTCAGAGCTCATATTTGAGTCGTACTGAATTTTCTGCCATTTTTGAACAACTCATTTTCCTCCACGTCACTTATTCACACATTTTGAAGCCTGCAACATACCTCTCTCCCACTTCTCCCTGGCCCTTATCTTTCACTCCAAGTCCCACCTTGAAGCCTTTACCATAACGCTTCCTTCCAGGAAGTTTCCTCATGTGCCCGTGTTGGCATTCGCGTCTCCAGGTCCTGCCGTGCGTTTCAGTTGATTCCGCTTCTGTTGCACCATATGTCTCATACAGTAGATCGACAAACAGAGCACGTGCTCTAGGTAGACAGGTCAGCTCAGTTCAGTCGCTCAGTCGCTCTTTGCAACCCTATGGACTGCAGCACGCCAGGCCTCCCTGTCCACCACCAACTCCCAGCCTTCCTCAAACTCAAGTCCATCTAGTCGGTGATGCCATCCAACCATCTCATCCTCTGTCATCCCCTTCTCATCCTACCCTCAATCTTTCCCAGCATCAGGGTCTTTTCCAATGAGTCATTTCTTCATATCAGGTGGCCAAAGTATTGAAACTGTGGCATCATCATCAGTCCTTCCAATGAACACCCAGGACTGATCTCCTTTAGGATGGACTGGTTTGCTCTGCTTGCAGTCCAAGGGATTCTCAAGTTCACCAACACCACAGTTCAAAATCATCAATTCTTCAGTGCTCAGCTTTCTTTATGGTTCAACTCTCACATCCATACATGACTACTGGAAAAACCATAGCTTTGACTATACCAAACTGATCACTTGGATCACAGCCTTGTCTAACTCCAGGAAACTATGAGCCATGCCGTGTAGGGTCACCCAAGACAGACGGGTCATGGTAGAGAATTCTGACAAAATGTGGTCCACTGGAGAAGGGAGTGGCAAACCACTTCAGCATTCTTGCCTTGAGAACCCCATAAACAGTATGAAAAGGTTGACAGACATAGTTCAAATCTTATCTCTGCCAGTTACTCCCAAGGGAATCTTAAGCAAAGTCAGTTAACCTCTCTGAGATTCTGTTTTCTCACTGATAAAATCCCTAAATGTTTCCACGTTTGCTTGAGTAGCAAATGAGCTCCTGGTATATGTGATGACACAGGACAGGTTTGCTCTTTCGTCGCATCCATTCTGTAAAGAATGACTTTATCTACACAACTTCCGTAGTTGCTCCTACTCAAATATTTTTCATAAGGGATCTGGCCTGTTTACTTGAGAGGAAGTGTTTAAACCTGAACACCTATAACTAACCTTTCAAGTTCAACAAAAACAGAATCAAAGCGTTATAGAGTAGAGGCATCTGGTACCATTATCTATTTTCAAATAAATCAGTGTCCATCAACTGGTAGCCATGGGTGTCTGCAAATGGACCCAACCTGAAAGAATCACTGGCCATTGTCTACTGCTGTGTTCCAGGCCCTAAAAATTGCTTCCCAAAAGGTTTCTTTCTCTACATCATATCCCTTCAATGTGTCGACTATACCCATAATTATGACAATACTTCCCTGGTTTGTAAGCAAAGAGGAATTGTTGAAAGAAATAATTTAAAAGGCATTTTACCTTACATGACTGTCCTTTTACATTATCATATTATCAAATCTTTATTTCTGATCTCATCTTAATCCTCTTTTACCTTTACACTGCTGCTGCTGCTGCTAAGTCTCTTCAGTCATGTCAGACTCTGTGCGACCCCATAGAAGGCAGCCCACCAGGCTCCCCCATCCCTGGGATTCTCCAGGCAAGAACACTGGAGTGGGTTGTCTATTCAAAGGGAAGACGATATTGAACCAAGTGTAGCTTCTTGGATTTTACAAAATGGAAAAATTAGAGTAATAGTGAGGACAATCAGCAATGTTGCCATTGAGCTGCTTTCCGTGGACAAAAAAACCCAGAAGCCTAGTCAGTGGAGTCCCTGCTCAAAGGTAGGCTCCTTCTTGGACTGCAGTCATTCTCAAAGCATGTCTGATCTCCACCACACTGAGCTGGAGTGACATGAGAAATGATGTGCTTTAAGTAGGATGTTTTCAATTTGTCATCGAAGAAAAACAAAGGTAAGTGGAACAAGGCAGGAGTTGACGGTGCCACAGGTAAAAAATAGGCTTTCGGAAAAGGAGATTTACCCAAGAAGATGATCAGCTTGGAAAAAATCAAATCTCCTCAGGCAAAGCAAACTATATGCTAGTAAAGGTCAGGTATTTCTCCCAAATCAGAGTTGTTGCAACCAGCTATTTGCTTTAAAGTGAGCCCTTAGTATTTGTGGTTATAGATCCTGGTTTCTGTCATATAGGGAGACTACTAAAGGAAAAAAAAGTAGAAACATCATTTCCTATGACCTGTGCCTGGGACTATTAAATGGTGCTTGGCTATTTAAATATGCTGTTTATACTGAATTCAAAGTGCATTATCTTATATCTTGGTTGATGTTGAAACACTTAGCCAAGTGATTAATGCACAGAAAAAAAGGCATATGTATTGGGACTTACCAGCTAAGGTTTAAAAGTAGGTAATATCATAATGTCATCACTAGCTCTTAAGTTAACTCTTGATCATCCAGCACCATATAAACACAGTCAGTGCTTGGTATCCACAGGGGACTGGTTCCAGGATCACTCAAGGATAACAAATTCTGTGACTTTTCAAGTTCCTTATATAAAACGGTATATTATTAATATTTGCATATAATCTATGCACATGCTCCTGTACACTTTAAAACATATCTAGATTACTTCCAATATGTAATAAATATAAGTGAAACTTGCTCAGTCAAGTTCAACTCTTTGTGACCCCATGGACTGCAGTCCATGGAATTCTCCAGGCCAGAATACTGGAGTGGGTAGCCATTCCCTTCTCCAGGGGATCTTCCCAACCCAAGGATAAAACCCAGGTCTCCTGCATTGCAGGCGGATTCTTTACCAGCTGAGCCACAAGGGAATGCTATATAAATAGTTGCCAGTGTGAAGAAAATTCAAGTTTTACTTTTTGGAACTTTCTGGAACTTTTGTCCCAAATTTTTTTTAATAGTTTTTTATTTTGATGTGGACCATTTTTAAAGTCTTTATTGAGTCTGTTACAACATTGCTTATGTTTTATGTTTTGGTCTTTTGGCTGCAATGCATGTGGGATCTTAACATCCTGATTAGGGATCAAACTCATACCCTCTGCATTTTGGAAGGTAAGTTTTACCCACTGGACCACCGGGGAAGCCCCTCTCAAATATTTTTGATCCAGGGTTGGTTGAATTCATGAATATGGAACCCAGGGATAGAGAAGACCAACTGTAAGGCCTAACATGTTCCTGAAGTGTAGAGGAACCATTGAATGGTGGAGAAGAAGTACTAGGAATCTGCTTAGGTGGTATCCTGAAGGAAATTTGGACTTTTTAATAAGATTAATAGCTTGACAGAAACCAACACAATACTGTAAAGCAATTATCCTTCAATTAAATATAAATTTTGATTTAAAAACTCAAGGCTAAGGGACTAAGAATTCTGTATCCAACTCCACTATGGAGGGGGTAGGGAGCTTCCTAATACCAACAAGCAATGCTCTGACATCAGCTGGGTGTCCTACAGTTCAGTTCCGATACCACCTACCTAGAGAGAGCATCAGATCCCTCAGGCTGAGGGCTCCGTCCTACAGGACTGCTTCCCCTGCCAACTTAAAGTTGATGTCTGTGATTCTGATCAACCAGCAATAGGCAGAAGTTCTAACATCATTTCCTTGAGTTTGGCTAATTCATTAGAATGACTCACAGGGCTCACAGAAGACTTTTACTTACTAGAGCACTGGTCTACTATAAAAGAATATAACTCAGGAATAGGCTGATGGGGGCGACGCACAGGGTAAGGCATGGGGAAGGGCTGAGCGCTCCCACACCTCCCCAGGCTGCACTCTCCCTGTCTCTCCACGTGTGCACCAACCTGGGAGTTTTCTGAACTCAGCGCTTTTGGGGTTTGATGGGGACTTCATGACAAGGCACAACTGATTAAATCACTGGATATTGGCAATTGATTTGACCTCTAGCTCCTCTCCCCTCCCCAGAAGGTGTGTGGAAGTGGGGGACACTAAAAATTCCAACACTGATCACTTGGCTGGGTCTCCTGACAACCAGTCCCCTTACTTGGGTGAGTCTAAAAGTCATTAACAGAAGACACCTTTGTAGTTCTCCTTATCACAGTGAAATTTCCAGATTTTTAGAAGCTCTGTGTCAGACAGAGGGATGAAAACCAAATATATATTCCTTATGGTAAATCACAATATCACAAGAACAACCCAAAAGGTGGAGGACTAAAACAACTAAAGGGCACTTCATGGTGGGACCTATGAAATGGCAAAGAAGTCCCAGCTTGTAGTGCCAAGATGCTAGGCTAGTCCCCTTGCTGAGGAGGGGTCTAAAAGTCATTAACATGACAGAAGACACTTTTGTGGCTCTCATCACTTAATGAAATTTCAAGATTTTTAAGAGTTCTGTGCCAGAAAGAGGGATGAAAACCAAACGGGTATTTCTTATTGTAAATCACAATATCATAGAGACAACCCAAAAGTTGAAATGACTACACAACTAAAGGGCACCCCATGGTGATACTCATGAAACGGCAAATAATCCCCAGCTTACAGAGTGTCATGATGCTGGGCTAGGAACATACAGGAAACTGACACCCGCTAGGGGTGACTGTTCCTAAAATTAAGTCAACAAATTAATGAGCAAGATGCAAATCTAGGTCAGGACCTGTCAGATTCTTGATAAGAAGACATATTAATAACTTATAGCATGTCAGACCATGTAATGTGGGTTTTATACACCATACATCAAGCTATATATTGTCACCCTGCTTAATTTACATGCAGAGTACATCATGCAAAATGTCGGACTTGGATGAAGTACAAGTTGGAATCAAGATTGCCAGGAGAAATATCAATAACCTCAGATATGCAGATGACACCACCCTAAAGGCAGAAGGTGAAGAGGAACTAAAGAGCCTCTTGATAAAGATGAAAGAGAAAAGTGAAAAGGATGACTTAAAACTCAACATTGAAAAAACTAAGATCATGGCGTCCAGTCCCATCACTTCATGGCAAATAATGTGTGGGGAAACAATGGAAACAGTGACAGAATTTATTTTATTGGGCTCCAAAATCACTGTGTACAGTGACTGCAGCTATGAAATTAGCTTGCTCCTTGGAAGG